TGAGTTGTGGAACTGGGCCTAATGCTCGTTTCTACCAATTGTAGATTAACTTTAATCTCGGTTTAACTTACTCTTCATCTTTTTCTAGTTCTTCTCAAGAATTAGAAAAAGAAGAAGAGTAAATTAAACCAAGATTAAAGTTAATCCACATTGGTAGAAACAGGCCTAAAACCGGAATATTGAATATTGAATATTGAATATTGAGATTGAAGATTGAAAGAAATTTGACCAATCAAAACAATAGGAGCTAAAATTCCTTTGTCCTCATTGGTCAAATTTTTCCGGGCTAATTCCGGCCTAAGTCGGCCTCACCTTGCGAAACTTTTGGAAACGATAGAATACTACTTTCGCCGCGCAGTAAAAGTTGAATTGAGTTCAACTTTTGTCCGCGGTGGAAATTATATATCTATTACTTCCAAGCAAGCGGGACGTTGATTGGCTATCGCGCCAATTTCCGCTGCGCGGCAAGCGTTGCCGCGTTCTGTGTGCAGGAGCCATAAAAAAGTACACGCAATGGGAACAGGGAATAAGAGATTTCAATCTCTCAGAAAGCATCCATTCTAATATATATATAGTTCTTGATAGGTTGAAATTCGTTATTTCTTGCTTCTATTGCCTGTTCTTTTCATTGTGTTTCCAGCTTAAACTTTGCTTATGCAAGACGCCATCTAAGTTTATCTTTGATTTTGAGAATTATAGTATAAAATATGTCGCCGTCGGTAAAATATATTTTTCGATTGTATTTCTCAAATCTTTAAATGGGCAACAATTGATACGACGAAAAATAACCAAGCGTAAAAACCTCATCTTGCCGTTTATTTATATTTCTCCCTTTTAATATCACTTTTTTCATATTTTCTAATATTTTCTTGTTGACAACATCGACAATATCGAAACCGTTTCACTGTTTTATCTCTTTTTGGAGCCGGCAAGTAGCGCTGTTACCAGCTCATAGCGGTCACGTCTGAAGTTTGTGACAATTGTGACGTCATAAAGGGAGGTTGATAAAGCCGCTACGCAGTATCGTTGCGCGCAGTTCCGTCTTTGACTACATCCGTACCTTGCGATAATAAGTGAGAAATATTTCGTACGTATACTTTTTATTATTTCTCACGATCTAAGATCAAAGACATAACCTAATATAAGGATCACACAGATCCTCTAAGTTAGATAGAAAATAGTCATTAATAAGAATATTTGAAATAGTGCGCGCACGGGCACTTTGGGGCGTAATCTTTATCGTCGTCTAAAGCCGGCACTGGCGAAGAAAAACTGCAAGGGGAGAGGGAGGAGAGATAAACGGTCGGTGGCGAAGTGTGGCGAGTCGTGGTCGGCGCCGTGCCTCGTCACGAGTGCCTCACACATCGAAATCGGGTGCGGGTGTCGCGCGGTGAGTGTCGACGGGAGTCGGGCTCGTCGTCTCTTATGGACGTTTGGTTCGACGGCGCCGTGCGGACACGACGTGTCTCCTCGGGGCCCCGGCGATTTAAGTGGGCGGGGTCGTGAGCACCATGCTCGCCGTACGGTGAGGGACATGGAGCGACCTCGGTGTTACCAGTGGTGAGCTGCCGTCGCCGCCGCCGACCGATAGTCGGTCGGTTTTTCTCATCGGAGCGTTACGTCGCTACGCCGCGCGTTGTATTACATGGCCGCGACTCACGCGTCAGCTACGCCTACAGCTATGACGTCCCTCTGAGACGAGAGACGGAGAAAAAGAGAGAAAGAAAGAGACTCCTTGCAGTACGCTCTTTGCTCCCCGCGGCTTCAAAGGTAGGAATTTTTCTATCGAAATTTCGGACGCGCGCTCTATGTCTGTCTCTGTTTATCTCCCACTCCTCTTGTCCGTCGCTCACACCTTCAGTCTTCTACGCTATGCCGTTGGTCGCTACCTTTGCCGATTGCTCTCTTTATCTCTCTATGTGGCTTTTCCTCCCTCTCCTCCGCATTCTCTCTCTCTCTCTCCCCCTCTTTCTTTCTCTCGCTCTCTTTATCATTCTTTATGTTCTCTTTCTTCTGTCACTCTACCACCTCTATAGGATCTTCGACACAGCCGCCGATTCGCTCGATTCGTCGATGTTGCTCGACGCGTTTTTCCGGAGTTGGAGGAATTAATACCGAGATACCGTTCTCTGGTGGGTTTTTTTTAGATGTAACGTATATATGCGTCGCGCATCATGCCCTCCTTTACTGGAAGAGTCGCCGCTGTGTTCAAACCTTTCTCCTCCCTTTGTCTCAGAGAACAGTAGGCAGGCAGGCATCTAGCATAGTGATTTTTTCCATGATAAGAATATCACACGTGTATATCCTTGACACAAGAATCAACATATAACCATAATATACAATAATTTGGAGTTTAAGGAGGAAAAGAAAAAAAAATTCATTACACACTAAAGAGGATCGCTCTGCACGCTGCACCTGCGATGTGTGTTTTTCTATCTCTGTCTGCCTGTTCCCCCCCCCCTCTTCTTTGCCTTCCTCCTTCCCCTTTCTCTTACTCCTCCCTTCCATTCCAACGTACATCTGATCCTTTTGTCTGCCGAACGAGATATATGTGTGTACGTATGTGTGTACGTGTTGCGCGCGCGTATGTTATACCGTACGTTTGTTTGTATACAAATATCCGTTAAACGCGTGCGTACGCACATTACGTACGTACATATATATAGGTACTCGCGGTACTCGCTCATGTAGGTACTCTGTCAAATCGGTGATTGGTAGAACCGTACGGTTCTGAAAACGTCGCGGCAGCGTTCCTAGAAACAAAGGAAAATTAATGTGAGAAAAAACAGATATGCCTAAAACGAAATTGGATTCGCACGTCTTTTTCGTATGATTTATGTGGATCAATATTTAACGTGAATATAAGAAAAATCAGCGAAACATTTTAATCAATAAGTCGAACATCTACTGATATAGGTGAAACGAGGAATTTGAATTCGAAAGAAAGTAAATCTAAGATGGCAATTTGAAGTCGAAAAGTACGAGTTTTATGTTTCTCTTTTTTTACAAAAAGAAAAATCTTTTTGAAAATGTTACATCTTTTAAGATATACGGAGAATCTTTTGGAATATCTTATCCCGAAGAAATTTTTAGAAGTTTTACGTAGCAAATTAAAGTCGAGAGGCATAATTTTCACTTTTAAAAATGATGTCAAATCTTTTGAGATACACGAAGAAAGTAGCAATCCAAGTAATTGATACAAAGTAGAGATATATTTTAATTTTTTTTAAAAGAGGATAAATTTTTTGAGATAAACGATAATAACTTATATTATTGAAATGCTCTCTAAATCTCTTGGAGTAAAAATTGAGCCAATCTTGAAAAAAAAGTGAGAACTGTTTACTCTTGAACAAAAAAGTGGCAGATTTTCACTCTTTTTTGGAATAAGATTTCATTCTTTTTTAGTGAGATTCACTCCAAAGGAATGAGATCTCACTCCTTTTTTTGGAATAAGATTTCATTTCTTAGTGACTTTCACAACAAAAGAGTGAAATCTTACTCCAAAGAATGAAATCTCACTTCAATAAAGAGCGAAAATCTGCCACTCTTGTTCAAGAGTGAAAATATTTTCATTCTTTTTTCAAGACTGGCTTGATTTCCAATTTTTTTGGAATGAGATTTCACTTCAAAAGATTTAGAGAGTACGATTTTTAAAAACTGAATAAATGTAGCTTATTGAAATAAATCTTTATTAATCAATTTACAATTATGTCTCGCTTAAAATCATTCAATAATATTACTCAATAGTATATCTCAGGGCCTGGATGAATTTCAAAGATGTAACAATAAATTTTCGCTTTCAACGACGCAGTATTTAAAAAGAGACGAAGAGAATAAAGAATTCTTGCGTGACGGACATTTGTATTAATATAAATATTTTATAGACGATTAGTTAACGACGTAATACATTGTAAGTAGCGGTTAATATTGATTTTTTTGTGATATTGAAGATGACCAGATATATGGTTGAAACGTTTATCAATATATGTAAATTGAATTAATATATAATTCCATTGTCACCTTGTGTTGGCTTTTATGCTCCTTTATCGATCAAATTTGACTTGTTCGGAAGCCGTTATTTGAAAAGTTGTTAAAATAGAAAACCGAATTCTGTAATATCAGCCTGATATTAATATATTATTATGTATAACTTAAACAATCACCACAGCCATATTGAATCGTGACGTCAGAAGCGAGAAGTGACACGTTAATTTTTATTACGTGCTATTTGTAAATAAAGACAATTTGGATAAAGCGAAATGATCGCTTTAAAACAATTGTAAAAATGGACGAAAGCTATCCTTATCCTCCCTGAGTCAGTAAATAATCGTAAAAAGTGATAAAAGGCATGTGTAAGTAGGCTACGCATGTGCATTAAATAAAAGCATACACGTGT